AGTGGTACATATATACAATGGAATATTATACAGCCATAAAGAAGAACAAAATCACGAACTTTGCAGCAACCTGGATGGAATTAGAGTTTGTAACACTGAGTGATCTGTCAGAGAAGCAGAGCCGAGTACCACATGTTCTCAGTCATCAGTGGACCTTGAACAACTGCCGTAGGGAAGGGACTGAAAGTAGTGGGACACTGCAGGGAGGGGGTGAGGGATGGGGAGCTGGGATGGACAGTCGTCAACATCCACTTGGGGAAGCGGGGGCACGCCTCGTCAACAGAGGCACCCGCACAAGGAACGTTTGTATGCCTCACCCTGGATTGTACCCCATGATTTCAAGATAAAAATCAAAAGAGAAAAAAAAAGGTTTACTTCAAACCGAAGAGGTCTAGGAACACGACACAGGAGGATCCATTCTAAAGCTTTTCGGGGCAGAGGAGGAAGGACATATTTACCTAGGAAAAGTCACTTAGTGGAGAAAGTAAAGTTCACTTGATGAGCCTTACGATCCTGTGGATTGGGTCAATACGGCATTATAGAGAAGGGCACGGCCTTGCTGTCCGTTGTGCCCCATTTGAAGTCCACGTGTATTACCTTTAGGAGCTGTCTTCGGTGGTCTTGGGTAAGAAACAATCCCTTGAGCCTCCGAAAGCTAAAATGAGGTGAGACCACTTGCTCCATGAGTTACTGCGAGGATTGAATGAAGTATCCAGAACTGTGTGGGGCACATTATAGGTTTCCAGTCAATAATAATAGCAAATATCTACCGAATAATTGTCATGTGCCAAACATTTGATAAATGCGTGAATTATCTCCTTTAATTATCACCACTCCTCTGTGAAGTGGATACTGTTATCTCCATTTTACTGATGAGAAAAAAGTATTTTAGAGAGGCTGAATAATTTTCCCAAACTCAACTGGGCAATTCTCTGACTTCAGAGTTTGTGCCCTTTACCACTCTGTGAGTTCTTATTTTTGGTATTATGCCCACGTTTTTTTTTTTGAGTTGGAATCTCATGGTCACCCAGGCTGGACTGCAGTGTCGCCCACGGCCACGCCAACCTCAACCTGCTGGGCTCCGGCAGTCCTTCCGCCTCAGCCTTCCAAGTAGCTGAAACCACACGCGAGCCACACCATGCCCAGCTGATTGATTGATGGATTGATTGATTGATTGTAGAGACGAGATCTTGCCAAATTGCCCAGGCTGGCCTCGAACCCCTGGGCTCAGGCTGTCCTCTCGCCTCCCCACGTGCTGGGATTATAGACATGAGACATGGTGCCTGGCTTTTATGCACCTTCTCTGGAATCTTCAGAATTGAATTCTACCCTGAAATCAACTGTTTACAATATAGCCCTCCCTCTGCTCTTTTCCTTGGTGGATACCCCAGTATAATGGCTATTCACCATTTTATGGTTTAGGACTTAGTTTTCTGAAGTTGTTGTAGAGTTGGAATCAGAACCTTTGGAAACCCAGTCAGTTCAGCAGAAATTCATACTGGAATGTAGAGTGTACTTCTAATGTTTTTCATCTTTCTTTGAGGCAAAGGATATAGGGAAGGTCATCTAGATCTTTGAGTATACAGATGATCTGATATTCTAATTTTTTATTTTTATTTTTTTGAGTTGGAGTCTCATTCTTTCTCCCAGGCTGGAGTGCAGTGGTACACTCACAGCCACCACAGCCTTGACCTGCTAGACTCGGGATCCCTTTGTCTCAGCCTTCCAAGTAGCTGGAACTACAGTCGTGTGCCACCACACCACACCACACAGGCTAATTTTTTGATTTATTGTAGAGACAAGGTCTCAACAAGATGCCCGGGCTGGTCTTGAACCCCTGGAGTCAGACAGTCCTCTCGCCTCGGCCCCCCAAAGTACTGGGATTACAGGCTTGAGCCACCGTGCTTGGCCTGATTTGATATTCTAGTATGTCATTTTGTGAGTTTTCACTTACGCTGGATGTATTTTTTTTACAAAAGGCGTTACTGAAGATAAGAAGAAACAGATACATCTCACAAATAGCACTAACTCTGGTTCTTATGAGATTATAGAATTGCTTCTCCTAAAAGGCAATAAAGTCAATATTTATTGAACTAGCCAAGTAGTTCTTTAATCATTCAGTTTTCTTTTTCAGTCCTGTGAATTCTCTTCACCCTCTGTAGGTGCTTAAGAATTTATAATAAATAATAACAGTATTCTCTACCCTTAACATGTATGTATTCAGTGCTGTGAGTATTGCACTGAATGGTAATGAAAGACTATGTTGACCACAGAAAAAATGACCACATTCTGGCAAAAATACATGTCAGATAGATTATTTGCTATTTCAGTCTGATTTTCAATTTTTGTTATGGAATTAGAAGAACAAATAAAAATATATTAGCTGACTGAAAAAGCATATTGTTATGTTTCTAAATCACTTAATGCTGATGTGTAGTCCCCTGCAACGCGGGTCAAAAGCCCACACTGATTTTGTGACTTAAATTTATAGCAGGCGTAGCAGTTTATAGTTGAAGAGAGGAGATGTGAACACATGGAAGTAAACAATAAAACACAGAAGTATGCGTTCTTGATATTTGGATAAGGGATTAATGGCTTTGTGGTTGAAGGTGTCCTGAGTTAGGACCTCAAGCAATAGGATTTTTCTCTGTTGCTCCCTTAACTCTTTGAAAACTCTGGTTTGATGCTGAGATGAGAATTCTGTGCTGTGTTAGACTCCCAGTGGGCACGATGGGACCTTCGGATGCGGTTGCGTAGGACCAGCGTAGTCTGGCTTACCTTTTGACAAGTACAGGGTTTTCCTCTGTTCTTATCAGAAGACTCGTCTTTTTATGTCTATTTGTGAAATTTCAGCCTCACATTTTACAGTTTACTAACAAGTAGCCACAGAAATTAAGACTGTCGGGAATTTTTTTCAGTGAGAATAGTTTTATTCTGTGTTAAAGTAAGACAAAGTGTGATTATTGAGTAATTTTTTAAAAAAGAAATACCTGTATAATTTTATATGATTATTCATACGAAACCGACTTATTGTAAGATTTTCAGACATTTATGGAAAAGTACAAACCAGGAGCTAATCTAACTACCCATTGGCAGTCTTTCAGTATTTTTCTGGTATTGTTATTTTCACCTGTATCATCACGTGAAAGCATCCTGTGTATTTGTTCACATAGTTTTACATAAAATTGGTGTCTTTATGCTCTATTTTGTAACCTACGTTTTTCCCCTAATGATATATTTGGGAATTTTTTGTTACTAAATAATAGCTCTACCTCTGCAGTGTGCATTACAGTGGCTACTAGCTACATGTAGCTCCTTTTTTTTTGAGTTGGAGTCTCACTCTATCACCCAGACTGGAGTGCAGTGGCCGCTCCCGGCCACCGCAGCCTCAACCTGCTGGGCTCTGGCAATCCTTCTGCCTCAACCTTCCAAGTAGCTGGAACTACAGGCACGCACTACCACGCCCAGCTGGTTTTTGATGTATTGTAGAGAGACGAGGTCTTGCCAAGTTGCCCAGGCGGGCCTCGAACCTGGAGGCTCAGGCAATCCACTCACCTCAGCCTCCCAAAGTGGGGGATTACAGGCTGAGCCACCAAGCCTGGCATACATGTAGCTCTTTACATTAGCATTAAAATTAACTAAGATTCAACTTAAAATTAAAAGCTGAACTCCTTAGTTGCACTTACCTCATTACGTGCTCAGGAGGCACATGTGACTGGTGACTGCTGTCCTGGCTGGTGATCTGATCCACGTTCCTCCTTGCAGTGACTGCGTGGCAAAGCCATTTCTCTTAATGCCGGTGCCCTGAATTCTACCAAGTTCAATCCAAAGAGGTTATACCAACTTCAATTTGTACTAGCAGTATGGGAGTATCTATTTACCCAGTTAGTAGTAGTAGTCTGTAAATCTTTATCCATGTCAAAGTTGGATAATAGTATCTTGTAAGTTGTGAGTTTTTGGCTACCAGTGAGATTAAAGATCTTTTCAAATGCTTATTTGTTGCTGCTTTTGTGAATTGTCCACTGGGTAGTTTTGTTCTTCTGTTCTACTTTTTGAGTTGGGAGTTTCACTGTGTCACCCAGGCTGGAGTGCAGTAGCATGATCACAGCTCACCGCTGCCTTGATATCCGGGACTCAGGGAATCCTTCCACCTCAGCCTCCTCAGGAGTTGGGACTGCAGGTGCTTGCCACCACGCCCATCTAATTTTTATTTATTTATTTTTGTAGAGTGGTGGTCTTGCTATGATGCCCAGACTGGTCTCTAACTCCTGGTCTCAAGCAATCCTCTTGCCTTGGCCTCCCAAAGTGTTGGGATTACAGGCATGAGCCACTGTGCCTGGCCTCTGGGAGTTTTAATGTGTGCAATTTTGTGAATCTTAGTGATGTATAACTAGGAAAGAATCTTTTCTTTTTGAGAGGAAGAGTCTTTGTTTTATTGTTTTTATTTGTGGGGCCGGAGTCTCACTCTGTCACCTGGGCTGGAGTGCAGTAGCACGCTCACGGCCTCCACGGCCTAAACCTGCTGGGCTTAGGCGATCCTTTCACCTCTGCCTTTCAAGTGGCTGGAACTACTGGCATGTGCTACCACATTTGTCTTGTTTTTGGTTTCTTGTAGAGACGAAGTCTCACCAGATTGCCCAGGCTGGTCTTGAGTCTCTGAGCTCAGGCGGGCCTCTCGCCTCAGCCTCCCAAAGTGCTGGGATTACAGGCTTGAGCCACTGCACCCGGCCTTAATTTTTGATTTGTTGTAAAGATGAGTTTTTGCCATGTTGCCCAGACTGGTCTATAGCCCGTGGGCTCGGGCTGTCCTCTTGCCTCCACCTCCCAGAGTACTGGAATGACAGGCGTGAGCCACTGCACCCGGCGGGAAACATGTTAATAAACTTGACGGTGTAGTGTAGTAAAGTCACGATGTTTTCAGCTGCCGCTTTTTATACTCTGCTATCCTGTTCAACCCAAGGTTCAGGCGGTGGTTTGACGCGGGTTCCGTTGCCTCCCCGCAGGTAATTCAGCAGGCGCTGCACCGGCCCCCCAGCTCGGCTGCTCAGTACCTGCAGCAGATGTATGCAGCCCAGCAGCAACACCTGATGCTGCACACTGCAGCCCTCCAGCAGCAGCATCTCAGCAGCTCTCAGCTCCAGAGCCTGGCTGCCGTTCAGGTGAGGCTGGGCGAGAGTCCGGGTGTGTGAGGCCAGCGTTTGTGGAAACTGCAGGTCATTGCTGAAAAGAAAGATGTGGGGGTTACCTGAGAGTTCTCACATGTCCTGTGGTTATTTTTCCTGAATGGGCTATAATAATAGGCTGTCAAATAGAGGCTAATTGAGAAAAAAGGGGGGTGTTTTTTATGTTACTCTGTTGCCAGCTTTTGTCTCAGGGCTTTTTATCCAAATTGGAGAAATATCATGGTATTGGCATGGCTGTGTGTATAAAGTTCTAGGTGCAGCAGTGAGTACTTAGGGTTACATGAATTGTATATTTTAACCAAAAACAAGCTTTTTAAAATTAAGTAATTTGTAATTTACACTCATTTAAAGAAACAGTATAAAATTGTTCATAAAAGTAGAGATGTTCCGTGTCCATACCTACCATTGTTTCCCACTCTTGGGTGGTAGCCACTGTAACAGTGTTAATGTGTATTTTCTCCAGCAATTTTCAGACGCGATTAGGTGCATTCAGGTGGTATGACTGTAGACTCCAGTAATGTTCTATACATAGATATCTATGTCCGTCTTTCTAAAGTCCAATCATATTATTCCTGCTGATAACAGGATGATCTGATGATTAAATACTTGTTATAAAAAATATTTTTTTTGGCCAGGTGTGGCTCATACCTGTAATCCCAGCACTTTGGGAAGCTGAGGTGGGAGGATCACTTGAGCCCCGGGAGTTCCAGATCAGCCTGAGCAAAATAGCAAGACCCCATTTCTATTTTTCTAAATAAATTGAAATAAAAAATTTTAAGAAGATTATTATTATTGTACTGCTTATTTAAATAAAACTGTGTAAGAGTTAATCTTAAATATTGCCAGAGGAGGATCTCAGTTGACTGAATCTGAGAAGAACTTACTTCTGTTATCAACAGCCTCTCAGCTGTTGCTGCTTTTTAGTCTCATAAATTTAAGTAACATCATGTTCATGGTATGAATTAGGAGACTGAAACCCACTGGCTCCAGCTGTGTCTCTGTGGTTTCTTTTTCATAATATTGGGGTAGTGATTCCACTTCAAAGATGACAGAGAGCTGTAGAATGAAACTGACAATAAGTGTAGCTAATAAAATAAGGTTAGCCTTTGGGTCCTCTGTTTCACCATTCAGCTTTTTCTTTTTAAAAAAAATCTGTCCAAAGCTTAAACTGTGTTGACTGTAAAATGAATCGTTTTATACATAGACCTATTGACATTTATTATTGTGGCTTTATAGGCTTATGGTACCAGAAAGTTTTTAACTCCAGGTTTTTACCAGCTTATTATAAAGGTCTTATTGTTTTAGGCAAGTCTGTCAAGTGGAAGACCATCTACATCCCCCACAGGAAGTGTCACGCAGCAGTCGAGTATGTCCCAGACATCTGTAAGTGACTTAAAGATTTTCCTGGACTTAAAAACTTACTCTTTTCCAAAAGTAAACTGTTGCTATTTATGAAGCTGTTGTTGTATATTTGTTGCATGGTTTTGAATTAATACGTGCCTAGAAATAGGAATTATAAGGTTCAAGAATTCAGAACTGATTTTAAACTTCTGAAAATCTGAGTCCTAAAACTCTTTTTGTAATATCCCTTATACTCCTTTCCCATGGGTTATGTTCAGATCTTATGTGATTCTAAATGATTTCAGTTTTCAGTGCATATTGAAAGCCCAAAATACAAAAATGCCAAGGGTATTGGCCATGCATTTACATGATTTGTTGAAGTACGTCGTGTCCTTGGTAGACATCTAAATGTTTCTAACTTGTAGTTCACATTTTAGAAATTGTGCTTTTGGCTTACTTGAGGCATTTGTTGCAGATTTGCAAGTATCCGTTCAAGGTAGGGTAATTTACTTTGAGAGAGGAGTAAAAGAAAACTGTTTTGCAAAACAGTTTTGGGAAATTGTGCAAAGTTTCTCAGATAAAAGAAATACTTGCTCAACTTTTTATCTTGATATAATTCCATTTTGTAAGAATAAAAAAAAGTTCAGATTCATCAGTTGATAGCATTTTGCCCCGTTGCTTTTTCATTCATTCTTTCTCTCTGCCTGTATTCATATTAGTTTTTCCTGAGTCATTTGTGGGTAGGTTGAGATATGCTATTTTATTCCTAAATGCTCTGATGTGTATTTCCAAAGAACAAGGTTATTATTTTATGATGCCTTAGAAAAATTATTAAATTCCAGAAATTTATCATTGATGCAATGTACTTTATGTCCAAATTTCATCGTTTCTCCCAGGCTTTTCAACCTCATCACTGTAGACATTTTGGGCCAGATACTTTGTTGTTTGAGATGCTGTTGTGTAAATTGTAGGACGTCTAGCAGCATCCCTAGCCACCAGAAATGTCTCCCGGAGGGGCAAGATTGCCTCTGGTGGGAATCACTGAGTTATCCTATTGATGTCCTTTATAGATATTTTTTTCCTGGTCTAGGATACCTTGTAAAATTGACTCCAATAGAATACTTGCATAATTTGTGGGTGGTTGAGGAATTGAAGATGAATTTGTGTTTCTTTAACATTAGGATGTATATGTATAGATACATGCTTTTGAATTTTTCTTCTACATTATTAAAAGGTTTTTTCTTTTTTATTTTTTTGAGTTGAAGTATCACTCTGTCTCCCAGGCTGGAGTGCAGTGGCATGCTCACGGACACCGCAGTCTTGACCTACTAGGCTCAGGTGACCTTTCCTCAGCCTTCCAAGTAGCTGGAACTACCGGCATGTGCCACCATGCTCGGCTAATATTTTCGTTTATTGTAGAGATGAGGACTCGCCATATTGCTCAGGCTGGTCTTGAACTCCTGAGCTCAGGCAGTCCTCTCACCTCCGTCAGCGTGCGAGTGTGAGTGCAGGTGTGAGCCACCGTGCCTGGCTTAGACTTGGTTTTCTCTGGTGACTTCTGGAGTTAGTGCCAGCTGGGGGTTAGCTTGCAGATATGGGGCTCAGAGAGTGAGACTGGCCAAGGCTTTCAGTGAAAAGGAATTAGGTGTGTTGGGATGGAACTGACAGATAAAATAATGGCAACTGGTAAAGACATCTGGTTTAGGTCAGCCGAGCAAAGCACAAAATAGAGGAGAACATTACCAATTGTGGACAGGAAGAGACTTTTAAGTTTATTTTTCTTAAAGGCAGGCTAGTTGGGGAGGTGAATTTCTTGCAGAGATAGCTACTGATCTGTTGACTCTCTTGGGTGGTTGGGTGTTTATTCAGTAGACAGCTGTCTGAAATATTACTTGTTATATGGAACTTAAAAAGTAGGCACCACGTCTCTTTGATCTCACAACTTAGACAAAGTAGCATACAGGTGGTCAGGAAGTTGCTCTTTAGTTTTTTTACTTCCTTATTTCCTTTTTAAGAAAAAGAAAACAGGTTTATACTCTGTGTTCTACTTCCTTAAAAAGCGCTGCCTGGTATGTTAGTTACCAGCAAATCTTTTTTTTTTTTTTTTTTGAGTTGGAGTCTCACTCTGTCGCCCAGACTGGAGTGCAGTGGCCACTTCCAGCTACCGCAGCCTTGACCTGCTGGGCTCCAGCGATCCTTCCGCCTCAGCCTTCCAAGTAGCCAGAATTACAGGCATGTGCTACCACGCCCGGCTGATTTTTTTTTTTGATTTATTGTAGAGATGAGGTCTCACTGCCCAGGCGGGTCTCGAACCCGTGGACTCAGGCAATCCACTCACCTCAGCCTTCCAAAGGCGCGGCATTACACGCTGAGCCACCGAGCCGGGCTCAGCCAATCATTTTAAGAAGATTTTCATTATGTTTTGTTTTAAAGATTGTGTACCTATCCTTACTAAGAGTGTCCTTCTTTCTTTCTTTTCTTTTTTTTTTGAGTTGGAGTCTCACTCTGTCATCCAGACTGGAGTGTAGTGCTTTGCTCCCAGCCACCGCAGCCTCGACCTGCTGGGATCTGGTGATCCTTCCACCTCAGCTTTCCAAGTAGTTGGAACTACAGGCATGAGCTACCACGCCTGGCTAGTTTTTTTTTTTTTTTTTGAGTTAGAGTCTCATTCTGTCACCCAGACTGGAGTGCAGTGGCTGCTCCCAGCCACTGCAGCCTTGACCTGCTGGGCTCCAGTGATCTTTCTGCCTCAACCTTCCGAGTAACTGGAACTACAGACACGCGCTACCACGCCTGGCTAATTTTTTTGATTTATTATAGAGATGAGGTCTTGCCAAGTTGTCCAGGCGGGTCTCGAATCCGCGGGCTCAGGCAATTCACTCATCTTGGCCTCCCAAAGCGTGGAATTACAGGCTGAGCCACTGAGCCCTGCCTCTTCTTTCTTACCTACTGTTTTTCAAAAGAATTACTAACTGAAAAAATGTGCCAAGATGTTATTACTGTACAGTGCCCTGAATGAGAGAGATATTAGGGTATTAGAAACAGTAATCTGAATGTTAAAAGACATTAGTCAGAAAACCAGGGTTCAGTTTTACCCAGTTATGTGGTTTAATCTTTGGAGCAAGGCTTAATCCACAATGTCCATATGTAGAGTGGTATAGAAAACAATAAGTTTTTTGAGAAGCTTAATAATTATTTAACACATCAGAAATATAGTTGAACTAATATCACCACACTATCCTTTTTTTTATTTTGAGTTGGAGTCTCACTCTGTCGCCCAGACAGGAGTGCAGTGGCTGCTTCCGGCCAACGCAGCCTCGACCTGCTGGACTCTGGTAATCCTTCCGCCTCAGCCTTCCCAGTAGCCGGAATTACAGGCATGCGCTACCATGCCCGGCTGATTTTTTGATTTATTGTAGAGATGAGGTCTCGCTGCCCAGGCGGGTCTCGAACCCGCAGGCTCAGGCAATCCACTCACCTCAACCTCCCAAAGGCGCAGGATTACAGGCTGAGCCATTGAGCCCGGCTCACACTATCCTTTTTTTATTGCTGCCCAGGCTGGAGTGCAGTGAAATGCTCATGGCCTCTATAACCTTGAGCTGGGCACAGGCGATCCTTCCATCTCAGCCTTCCAGGTAGCTGGAACTACAGGCATACGCCACCATACCTGGCTAACTTTATGATTTACTGTGGAGATGGCTACAGTTTCCTAGGCTGGTCTCAAACCCCTCGGCTCAGGTAATCCCCGTGCCTCTGCCTCCCAAAGTGCTGGGATTATAGGAATGAGTCACCGTGCTCACCTATCTATCCATTTTTATTTTATTTTCTATTTTTATTTTTATGTTTTGAATGCAGGCTTTATTGAAAGGACAGAAAAGCTTCCACAGTGGGAGGGGAATTGAGGGAATTGCCTATCAGTCCATTTTAATCTGCTTTGTTAGTTACTTTACCAAAACCCTTTTACTCTCTCTTTCATACACACACACATATACACACTCACACTCACTAATTGTGATGGGCTTTCATGTTACGTAAAAACATGAGGTACACCTTAAAATAACATGCATTAGCTTAATAAGCTTTAATTCAATGAGGCAGTTTCATAGATATTGATTATATGAAGATGAATAACACATGGTCCCTGCCATTGAGGAAATTGCTGGGTGGAAGGATGAGATCGAAATACATGCTACAAGTATACAGATAACACTTAGGCAGAAACGAGGAGGAAGAGTCAGCTCTACCTTGGGATGTAGAGATTCCTGAAAAAGCTTATTAGAGCAGGTAACTTTTGGGAAGGAGATGTTTACTGCCTGGGCGGGAGGGCTGGGGTGTAGGGTGGAACGTGCAAGATCCAGTCAGCATTGTCACCAGTGCCTCAAGGACTGGTACGCTGTGACTTTGCACATAGCTCAGTGTGGACCACACGAAGGATGTGTTTGAAGGAGGAGGAGATGCTGCTGGAGAAGTCGTCAGGGAAGGTTGAGCTTTATCAAGAAGATTCTCTTTTTTCAATTATTAAAACAAATATTTGTTGAAAACCTCATCAGTGCCGGAGACTTTTCTAGTAGCTGTAAATTAGATAGATGAGGGTTCTGTTCTCATGGAGCTTGCATTCTAGGCATGGGAGAAAAACAGTAAAGAGAAAAAACAACATATTGAGCAAGTTTTCAGTGCCAGACAACAAGTAATCCTGGCGGTGGGCTAGAGAATGATGCAGGTCAAGGTGAGGCTTGCTCTCCAGTGGGTGTTCAGTGTGGTGAGCAATTTCTTTTTGAAAATGTGACATTTGAGTAGACACAAGAATAATGAGAGGTCAGGCAGGTTAAGCTATTGGAGGATGGTGTCCAGGTACTTGAAAATCCATTTGCAAATCCAGAATTTGGGGAAGATTTTCATGAATTAAAGCTGTGGCAATTTCTGCACACCACTTCTTTGTTTTTGTTTTTAATTTTAAAGTTGGGGAATAGAAGTCAGGATTGTGTACATTAAGTGGTTTAGGTACAAGTGAGGTTTTGGGCTTCCCACTGGACCTCACCTCG